GCCATGTGAAGGGATTTCCCTTAAGGCAGGAGAAATTATCTCCACGAAAAGGAACAGGTTCGGCCATCGCACAGTGGAATAAATTTTCTTTTTAAATAAAAATGAAAAAGGGTTACCTTAAATACATATTTTTAATTTGCAAGTTCATAAGCATTTTCTCTTTCCAGTTCACAATCAGTTCTACCCCCCGGGTCAAAAATATGTCTGGGAAAATTTCCCTAATGTAATATTATTTATAAATATACCCGTCTAGCGGTTAATTGCATAAGTGCATGGAGGCAGGACCTCAGAGCAGAAGCATACTCCATAATGTGTTGTACATTATTATATGTATTTATTATATGTAATGTGGTATTTTTCAATTATTCTATTTACCAACATCAAGAAGTCACAAGCAAAGGAAGACCACACCATGGTGCATGTTTAAACAAGGAGAGTTTATTAAACAAATAAACCACATTTTTTAACCCCCAAAAATACACGTTCAAAGCAACACAACGGCGGCCCAATATCAGACAGAATCCCACTCTGTCGAGTGGGCAATCATTATGAAGCACTTGGTTTTATTTTGTGGATTCAAGCTGCTCTTCATATTTTTGGCCACCAGATGTCACCAGAGAGGACTGTGTTGAAAAGCTTCGAGTAATGAAATACTTTAAAATTATATTTTGGGGATAAAATTTAGATGATCGACCCCTAATTACCTGTTTCTTTTATGGAGAAGGAGGGCAAGTGCTCTAAATACTGCACGGCCCTAAATCTACAAAAAACAGAAACCAAAGAGTACATCTATTTTACCTTTAAAGTGAAATTCAGAATAGATCGATAAGAAATAACTCGCGGTGATTTATAAATAAAGTTCGGGCTGGGTCATCTTAGCTGCAGCCCTTGAATGCAGCATAGGACAGCCCGTGAACGTCACACCGTTCTCGAAGCTGCCACAGGTGAGCTCGTGCGCCAGGCCTCGTTCCTCCAACGTTTATGTCACGAGTGTCCAACTCGTCCTCGAGAGCTGCTGTGCTGCAGCTTTTAGATGCATCTTTACTCCAACACAGCGTTAATCTAATGGTTAGATGACCTCTTTAGCATGAAACCGAGTTTGGCAAAAGCCTGGTAACAAGCCATTCATTTGGTTCAGCTGTGTCGGAACAAGGATGCATGTAAAAGCTGCAGGACAGCAGCTCTCAGAAATGGAATTGGACCCTTTGGTTTATGTGACTGAACCTCGGTGTGTGGGAGATTTAGCACACAGGTAACGCTTTGTGTCTCACTGCTAGGTAAGCATGACTTGGATGGGGAAACGTGTAGGACCGAATAAAGCTTTTCCCGCTTTAAACCTTTAGCGCAGCCTGTATGTGAGCCCGGCAGGAAACGGGGTTTACCCTGTATGCTCCTGGTGTTTAACACATGCATACATTTTAAAAACGAAACCGTTCTACATGTAGCTGTCCTGAATTTATTATAGCTGAAAATGATAAAATCGTCTTGTAATTATTAGCATTACATTTTGCCACAGCCGCCATTTTCACCGGTTGGCTCCCAGTTTCGCTTGATTGGATTCAGAAATCTTTCACCAAAACTGGCCGCAGTGATCTTGGATTCAGGCCCAAGGAGTCTTAATTTTCCGAAGCATACATGGGTCAGATCCAGCTGAAATAGAAATTCACAGAAATGTCCTAAAACCTGGAATAAACGAGTACTTTCGCACTTCCGGTGTCCTTCTTTTCGTGTTAATTGTTTTTCGAGTGGGGGTTTGGTTGTCTCAGGTAAGATCTGTGGTTAACATGAGCCGGTTTCATATTTGTTTGCAAATACATGAAACTTTAGCTACTCCATGTCGAGACAGGTGTTTGCTAACAGCTTGAGATATTAGACACACTTTGGCACGATGAGGGTGACATTGAGTCTAGCAAACCACGGCGCGTTTGAAAAACTCCTTTGTTGTATTTAACTATGCTTTTGCTTTGCAGCTGAACCTTCTTTCGTTCAGCTGCAGTCATGGCCACAAACAACGTGGTTACTGAAGCTAACAGGCTGGAACCCCAGGCAGCACCCGGGGATGGAGACGCTTCTGTTCAAGTCAGGGTACAAGTCGCTGTCACAGCTGCAAGCGTGTCACAGAGTGACTCTGTCTCAGCCCCGCCTAAAGTCGTCCCGAGTGGCCAGCCTTCAACCTGTGCAGTGTCAGGGCCTCGCACCTCTCCTCCTGTTGTGGTGGTTGCAAATGCAGGCGTGAGTGCAGGTAACCAACAGACAACGAAACAGCCTCAGAACCAGGTGGCCTCCGTGAAACAGGTTACAACCACAGGAAGGACGGTGTTGATAACTGTTCCCAGATCAGCAACTGCACAGCCAGTCACTCCTCGACTGCCACAGGCCACCTCCCCACATCTCCCAGCCAATATCCAGATACCTCCAGGTGAGCTGCACAACCCGCTGACTGTAGTCTACACTGTA